CCCCTTTAGACTCGTCATTCATGGAAGACGACGCCATGGAGTTGCTGGATGCAGACGAGTGATCCTTAGAAGAAGCGTGTGAGGACGAACCAGAGAATGAAGATAAGGTAGGCAAACTACCAGCCGGAGAGGAAGATGAATTCGACGGTGATGAGGCAGATGAGGAGGAGGAGCTCGGCATGGAGGTGGAGGAAGACGACCCATTGTCACTATCGTACCCTCCCTGTGAGATACCAGGCGAAGAGAAGGAAGACAGAAAGGCTAAACTCTGCTCAAAGTCAGCCCGAGAAGAAGAGTCCTTGACGGAATAATACGGTATGTTCTCCATAAACAGAACATGACAACCAATACGAAGACGGCGACCAAGCGGGTCATAGCACAGATAGCCCTTATATCGATCACTATATCCAACAAACACACAACGAACTGTCTTGGGAGCAAGTTTATGGCGCTCTTTACGGGGTAATAAGACAAAGCAGAGGCAGCCAAAAACTCGTAGACGATCATATTTTGGGTGACGCGGAAAGAGCTTATAGAATAGAGAGTGACCGTCCAAGACAAGAGTGACTTGTATGTTGATCAGGTGCACCACCGTGTTAGCGGCCTAGACCCAAAAATGCGCGGGAACTCCAGAGCGAAACAAAAGGGCACGAGTGAGCTCAAGAACGTGACGGTTCTTAAGCTCCACTAACCCGTTCTGCTGTGAGACCCCAGGACATGGCTGTTGTGAGAGTATACCAGCGGATTTGTATAAGTGAAGAAGGTCATTGGAGCTGAATTCTCCTCCCGGATCAGGTCGAATGATCTTGACAGTCTTCTAAAACTGAGTCTGAACCATCCGAACAAAATCCTGAGCATGGGACCTGAGATCCGATTTGTTCTTGAGAAAGTAGATCCAAGTATAACGGCTATAGTGATTGATGAATAAGGCAAAGTAGAGAAAACCATTACGGGACGAAGATGGGGCCGGACCCCAGAGATCAGTGTGAACTAGATCAAAGGGAGCAGTATACTCGGTGGTGCTAGGAGAGAAGGAAATCTGTGAAGCCTTGGCTTCAATGCAACTCAAGCACGTAGGAGGAGAAAATGAGCTAGTACGGAACTTGACTGGTAACAAATTATTGTGAAACATCTGTAACAATCGAGCAGAATGAGGATGTCCCAAACGGAAGTGCCATAAATCCCAAATAGAATCTCGTACATCACTATGTTACGAACCGAAAAACTAAAAATTAGAAACTGTGAAGCAGCAGGAGCAACACGTAGACCACCACCATCTAACACGCCACTATCCTCCCTCCCATAAGCACCATGCCGCCGAGAACGAAGAGAATCCAGTACGTACACACGACCCTGCTTATGTCCCCGGCCTAGTTCCTTCCCGTCGTCAGATCCTGCACCAGACAACCAGTATTATTAAATCGAACCTCACACCCATCCTCGGCAAGCTTCCCTACAGAAACCAGATTGGGCCATAAGCGAGGAATATGAAGAGTGCTAGAGAGATGTAACTAAGGTTCTGAGACAGAAACAACCCCAGTAAACGGAAGAATCGCCCCATTAGCAACTTGTAACTGGCGAGTGACCGGAGTAAGAGAACTAAATGACCGAATACGACTGGTCATATGAATAAAAGCAGCCGAGTCAAGAAGCCAAGTCCGAGAATTACCTGCAGAGTTCCCAGTAGCAAATGCTGAACTCATCACCTCCTGAAGAGCTTCCTGGATGAGCTTGGTGAGTTCGGCTTTGGACACAGCAGTTGTAGGAGAAGAACCAGCCCCGGGACGAGCCGGAGGAGCACCAAGATCCGTTGTAGCAAATGCCGAAGCAGGCGGAGGAGGACCAGAGCGACAGGGATTCTGACGACGAGTATGCTGACGACAATCACTAAGAATGTGACCAGCCTGCTTGCAATAATTACACCAGTTGCAATTCTTGTAAAACGGCTGAATATGACCGGGCTCTCGACAGTAATGACAAATACGAGCAGCAGGAGGACCTTGACCATCGGAAGTACAAGTAAATTGTGGACGATAAGAGGAGGCAGCAAAGGCCACTGAATTATCAGCAGCACCGACAGACTGGGAGTCAACGTGAGCTTGACTTTTGAGGCGAGTTTCTTCCCTGTAGAGCTCAGACCGAATAGTATCCAAATCTGTAACATTCCGATGAAGAATAGAGGCCTGCACAGGTTCAAAATCACGCCTCAGCTTCATGAGAAAGGTCATCGTCCGAGAGCGAGTACGCTCGGCAATGGTTTGAGCCGAAGCAGGAGTGGCCGAAAGTGAAGCAGAAAGAAGATCAGACTCGGTCCACAGATGCATAGCCTCCTGATTGTAGGAGCAAATATCATGATCACCTTGAGACAGGTTTGACAGAGCCAACTCCGACTCAAACTGGCGAGACGCACTAGCTTGATAGTTGGTAGAGATAAGATGTGCCCACATATCACTAACGCACTCAAACCGACGCAAACTCATACTGGTAGGGATATCCACGGCAGCCAGAAGCCAATGAATAACCTTATCATTCTCAGCCTCCCAATCACCCAGGGCCTTCTCATCCGTCTCGGGGGGCTTAGGCTTCTTACCGGTGAGAAGCGGGAGAAGTCGTTTGCCCTGAACAAACGTTGGGAATTGAAATTCCCATAGAGGGAAGTTCTTGCCATCAAATCGAAACAATGCCGCATCACCATTAACAGCCTCCATAGTGAGCAAAGAACCAACCACCACTAGCACAAAAAGAGTCGTACACAAAGGAACACCACACGCACATAATAAATGAACCAAAAGGAAAAGCCAAGTGGGGAAACAATACCAGCAGAGGACAAACAAATTGAGCTAGGAATAGAACCACAGCAACAAAACTCCAAGCAAGGAAGATACCTAGGGGTGTTCAAACGGATTGATTATCGTATTAACCATATTAACCGGTACACTCGGCTAATTTGGTTTGGTTAATTTGGATAATTGGTTTGGTTTGGTTAAACAATTTAGCTTATTTGGTTTAGGTGGTTTGGTTTGGTTTCAACACTGCTAACCAATGAAACCAATTAACCAATTACTGATACACAAAATATACAAAATTATTTATACTTCCATGCAACCAACCAAACCAAACTTTCGTGATTCCCTATTTTATTTCCATGTGCACAACAAACCAAAGCATTACGGGTCAAAAATTAAATGGGTCTGCATATTTACTAAACCAAAACATTTTGGACAGGTACTAGACTTTAGGATTACGTACAGTACCTTGACAGTCACCTCAAATTATGTATAGTTTAAGTGTTTTTGTAGGAGAGCTTTAACTTCCCGATGAGTGGTATTGGTATGTATTTAATTATTTATGTTAAGGGTTTGTTGTAAGCTAACTATATTAGGTGCAGAGATGATGAATGATGTATTAACTCGAATGATGATGATAATCATGGATGGTTAGTCTTATTATTATTGCTTATATATAATGATAGTTTATGATAGTAATAACATATGGTTATGTTTAATTCATTAACATGATAATTGTTTTCATGTAATGTTATGTTATTTGGTTAATCCGATTATCCGATTAACCAAACCAATTAAACTTTGGTTTGGTTAATTTGGTTTTCGTGTTAATTTTGACGGTTTGGGTAAGACATTTTATTTCATGGTTAATGAAATTTAGACTTAATTGGTTTGTTTATTACCACGCTAACCATTTTGAACACCCCTAAAGATACCCACGTGAAGGAAGATCTCGCAGCAACAAAAAACACCAAGCGAAGGAATATACCCACGCAAGCAGCCGAGCAGACAAAAATCGGGCACAATAATAATGACGAAGCTGGGAATAAAACCACAACCACCGAATCCCAAGCGAAGGAGAAAAGAACCCACGCGAGCAGCCGATCCGAGAAAATCCTTACGCAGCCGATAACCAGAAGCAGTCGAGAACAAGAAATCAAAGAGCAGCCGAAGAACCTTAGACAAGAGGCTCTGATACCCTGATAAGAAGTATAAATCAAGAACACGAACACCATATTTACGTGGTTTCCCTGAGAATCAGGACTAGTCCACGGTAGAGGTAGCACTCTCTAGAGTCAATCTTATTCAGCTTGGTTTATACAAAGTACATAGAGGAGGTATTTATACATTAAGGTTACCGCTCAGAAGTAACCCTAATCCTACCTAGTTTGGTAACTAACGTAATAGGGACAATTACATTAAGCTACCTAAACTAAGCATATACATAATTTCAACAGAAACCACTCGGTGAAAAGCAACCTTTGAAATATTGTACCGAAGGTTATATCGAAAATGTTAGTGGGGGCTATTTTATGCTAAAATTGTGGTTTAATCGTACTTCAACTGTCTTACACCACTAACTACCATTACCATTTTACTCCGATAGGAGATTTTTCCTGGTCAAACCATTTCTGCTCCCCTAGGATTCTGTACCTATAGTTTTCCTTCTTTTACTAGTGAAATTGGTCCAAAAGAACGTGATGGAAAAACCAAGCAAAATTGACCTGTGAATGGTTTCCCGCCATTTATGGAAAACCTTAGGACAAACTTAACCAAAAAAATATATCTACTGACTGATCTTCTCCATATATTCTCCAACAACCGCCCTAGGCAATATGCAAATAACAACTTCTTCTGCGTCTCCTTATTTAGGGATGGACATTGGGGGGTTCTCCGACAAATCAATTCGAACCACTCAACTAAATCCTACCAATGAAGTGAATCGACAAGCGTGGGTTGCTTTCAATTTCGCCCATGAGATTCCCCTGCTCATTTACTAGATCTCAGCTAGCGTGCTAGCCTTTTTCCAGCCACTTTGCACGGCTGGCTATATATATGTAGCAATTCTGCTACAAGTTGTTTCAATCCATACAGCTCTCTGGCATTTGCTTCGACCCAAGTAGAAAGATCAAAAAGAAGAAAACAGCTATGGCGTCTGGGAGTAACAAGTTCCCTCCATAGCATCAGCCGGAGCAGCCGGGGAAGGAACACCTGATGAACCCTCTTCCTCAGGCCGTCAACCCTAACTACAAGCCCTCTTCCAAACTCCAAGTAACAACCCATCATTTCCATACCTCCGTTTCTTTTTCGCTGGATTGTTTCATTCGCTCTTAAGATTGAATTAATGGATGCAGGGGAAAGTAGCTCTGGTTACAGGAGGAGACTCGGGGATCGGCAGATCGGTGTGCGTACATTTCGCCATGGAAGGAGCCACCGTCGGGTTCACATACGTCAAGGGCATAGAAGACAAGGACAAGGACGAAACCATCAAACTGATCAAGAAATTCAAAACCCCCGCGGCCGAAAGATTCCATCGCGATAGCAGCGGATCTGGGATACGAATCGGAGTGCCAGAGGGTTGTGGACGAATTCGTCAACGAGTAGGGTGGGACCATCGACGTCCTGGTGAACAACGCGGCGGTCCAGTACTATACGAATTCGATCGACGATCTGACCGAGGAGAGGATCGACAAGACGTTTCGGACCAACATATATGCTTACATTTTAATGGCCAGGCTTTCTCTGAAGCAGGGGAGCTGCATAATCAACACCACCTCTGTTGTGGCCTACGCGGGGAAGATCGACCTGGTGGATTACAGGTGCGATTGTGAGTTTTACGAGGAGCTTGAGTTTGCACCTTGTGAAGAAGGGGATTCGGGTCAATGGGGTTGCACCGGGACCCGTTTGGACGCCGTTGCATGCAGGTGGCTTCGCTTCCAGCTGAGGTTGTGAGCAAGTTGGTCAGCCGTATGAGATGGCGCCATCGTATGTGTTTCTGGCGTCGGATGACTGCTCTTCTTACTTCACCGGTCAAGTCCTGCATCCCAATTAGGCCTGTTAGCGGTGCGGTTTCGGTTTCAACCGAACCGCAAAGGCGGTTAGCCGACACCGAGAAAGAGGTAAAATCGGCAACCGCAACCGCGACCGACGGCACCATCGGTTAGCCGAAAACCGCAACCGTCGGTTTCGGTTTCAACGACGGTTATTCAGAGACCGACGCACACCACCTCCGACCACCACCATCGCTATGCATGTCACCGAAAAATCCCAATTTTGAACCATCGGCAGAGGAAGAAGAGAGACCCGTCGGAGGTAGAGCGTCGAGAGGAGGATTTGAATCTAAATCCGTCGCCGAAGGCAGAGGAGGAGCGATGACGAGCATACATGGTCGGAGTTCTTGATCGGCGGGAGAGGCAGAGGCGTGGATTTGAATCCGTTGCCGCTCGAAACATGCAAGGCGGAGGTGGAGCAACGGCCATCGCCGCTTCGAAATCGACCTCTGGATTGGGAGGCGGAGTGAGGGGGGCGACGAGTTAGAGGATTGGATCTGGAGGATACAGGGAAAGGAAGAGAGGGGGAGAGGCGGAGAGCGGCTAGGGGAGAGGATATGGGTGAGCGATGGAGGAGGGAGAAGAAGGCAACGGAGAAGAAGGGAGAGACCTGCAAGAGGAGAGGGAAAATCATGTTTAGGAGAGGGAAAATCGTGTTGAGGAAGAGAGTGGGGGACTGGGGGTTGCAGGGGGAGATTAGGGGTGAGAAGTCGGTTTTCGGTTAAACAGGGTTTAGCTCGGTTTTTCACTCGCGGTTTGCGGTTAGCATTATAACCCAAATTCGCCAACCGACGCCGACACCGCCAAGCTATTTTCGGTTTTCGGTTCGGTTTATAACCGTTCGATTCGGGGCGGTTTTCAGTTGAACCGAGAAACCACCAACCGATTATCACCCCTAATCCCAATGGTGAGTTTTGTTTTTGGGAAGAAGGAATTGAATGCTTCCAGCTATTTGCGGTGGTGTTGTTGTTGCAGGTGGGTTGATCGTGAATGCTTGATCCTGAGTTTGCTAGCTGGTATGAATGGTTATCAAGAACTTGAAATTTACAAGACCATTTTGAATGAATTGCTTGAAGAAGATGAATCCATATCACCGTAGGATTGCAGAGAGTGAAGAAGAGGTTTCGAATGCTAGCACCAAAGGGCAGAACATTTCATTAGTGAAACGTTTTTGTTTAGGTTTTGTTGTTAGTAAGGTGTTGCGCACCGTTTAAGTTAGTAGTGTTAGATTAAGTATTGTTTAGTTTGAACAATGTCCAATAAGAGATCAACCTGTGTCATGGCTTCTCACCAACCTGATGAATGACGAGAAAGGAATCCGATTTGGGATAATTTGTTGGAATCTCTGGAAACAGAGAAACGAGGAAGCTATTGAAGGGAAGACGTTCTCTCAAGATGGCTTTCTCCATCGAGTTGAAGCTTGGATCAACATTGTTAACCAAGCTTATGCCAGTGATAAGAGAAGCTCCCCTGGCGCTAACCAAGAGAGAATTACCAGAGATGTGGCGTGGAAACCGCCTCTGGAAGGATGGGTCCAGGTCCAAACCGATGGATCAGTCCTGGATTCTGGGCAGGCTGCGGCAGAGGGAATCATCCGGGATCATCTGGGGAGATGTTTGAACTCCTTCGTTTGCAATCTTGGTTCCTGTACGATCACGGATGCGGAGTTAAAGGGAGCTGCTGAAGGTTTGTCTCTCGCTTGGAAGTCTGGGTTCAAGAAGGTGCTACTTAACCTGGACTCTTCCACGGCCATCTCCATCATCAAGAATAGCAAGGATAGTAACCATCGTTATGGTTTGCTTGCTCAAGACATTGATAGGCTTCTGAATTTTGAATGGGAAGTGTTTGTGCCACGGAACCTTCCCTTCAGCGCGCTCCGCCTCCTGCACACAAAGACGCCCACCGAGCCCTCCTGGGGGCTCGTTAGCACTCCGACGCCCAAGTCAGAGTCCCTTTCTAGAGAGAGAAGTCGAATATCAGTTTAGAGAGAAGTGCGAACCTGAGTAAATGAGCTCCACCCACTTCACTATTTATACCCGAGGGCGGGTCGACCAATTCCCCCCGAATCCGCCCTACGTCATCACCTCATTAAATGCACTGTACCTTGTTTCTCCGGGGCGCCCCGACATTCTGACACCAACTTGCCTTCTCGAGGCGCCCGGCCCCACACCTTGTCCCCTCCGTACGCTTCTGGCCGTTATCCCCTTTTGTCGCCATGCGCCCCTCTCCGGGCTTGGCCCCACCGCTCGGGCCTCAGTCATTGGTCCCTTCTTTTTGGGCCTGGCCTCTTCTTCGGCCCAAGATGGCCTCCTGGCTCTTTACTTGGGCCCTTTCTTCTCAGCACCCCAACAATTGCCCCCCAGTTAGGCGCCTACCGCTTGGTGGGGGCCTAACTACCAATGCGCCTCTTGGCAGCGCCCCTGCCCTGGTGCGCTCTTCTTGGTTTCTCACTCCCCGCGTAGAGAGCGCCCCGCCATCGCTCCTCCTCCAGTACATGCTCTCAGATTTCCCCCTTCCTTTTTGCTGGGGCGCCCTCCTCTTTCCCGCCTGATTAAAGAATTATTTATTGTAAGCCGACTGTTGGGCTTCCGCCTTAATTGCGAGCGGACCGTTGGGTTTCCGCTTTAATCGCTGGTCCGTTCCCCTCCCCCTAGGCTGGAGCGGATTCAAATTTTGAATTTTGAATTCGGTTCAGCCTAGGTGATCTTCCGTCTCCCCAAGCCTATTGCTCTCCCCCGGTCCCTGCCTATAAATTGCCCCCCTCAACTCTTCCTTCCTCACTTCCCCCAAACCACTCTCTCTCTACTTCCTCTCTCTAGATCTCGCTCTGCTCTGCCCCCCATTGCCCTGCACCTCTCTCGGCCAACTCTTTCGGCCCTCCTTCTCGTCCACCTGACCCAAGCGCCCTCTTGCGCTTCCGACCTTCTCCCCCTTTTTTTTCTACATCAATATGGCCTCCTCAAACCAGCCCGGGTCTCCCAGGGCGACGCCCACCGAGGCGGCGCCTCCCAGCTCCGTGCCCCCCACTACTGCGCCTCAAAGCGAGGCGCCTGCCCCCGCAGGGCCTTCCAACACCACGCCCCAAGCCGTGGCGCCTTCATCTGCTCCTGCCTCCGCTCCAGGTATCCGTGCGCTTCCTTTCCCCACTTTATGCTCCTTCTATTTTGTGTGTTACGTTTCATGGCGGTTGTCCCCAGATAGATAGCTCACCACCGTGCGCCTCTTGAGCCCTTTGCGCCTCACGTGCCATGCACGCCTCTTTCTTCTTTACCTGAATCCACATGCGCCCCCTTCTTGACCCCCTCCTTTTCTGACTACCTAGGCACCAGCGCGCCCCGCGAGTTCGGGATAAGTCAGTGGGGCAACATGTGGCCGCCTGGGTATATACCCACGGACATCGACCAAATGTCCGAGGCGGACGCCGGGCCGCCCTACGCCTCGAAGATCCTCTACTCCCGCTTCACCTCCTTGATACGAGCGGCCCAGATGCCTGCTGACTGGCGCTACTCGCACCCCTCGCCTGTGGCGCGTGTGGGGGTCTGCGGAGAAGGCTGGGTAGGCGTATATCAGGAGTACTTCCGCTTCGGGCTTCGGTTCCCCATCGACCCGATTCTAGAGGGCGTCCTCCATCTGTGTCAATGCTCGATCGGGCGCCTTTCCCCTGTGATTGTTCTCTACACCGTCCTTTTCCGCCTTAAGTGCCGGCAACACAATATTCTACCCTCCCTCAAATTATTCCAACACTTCTTTACCATCATTAGGAGCCCCAATTGCTTCAGCCTTCAGAGGCGCTCCGATTTAGGGTATCATTTTATAAGCAAGGGCAAAAAGATGGGGCGCTCTTGGTTCGAATCCTTCTTCTTTGTGCGCCCTCGGGACACGCCTTTCTTCGAGAGCGGGGCCCCCGCCCGGACGCGGTGGGCTTTTGGGGATGAAGCCGAATTTAACAAGCGCCCCGTCTTGAACGAGGCGGAGGAGAATATGGCTCGGCGCCTCTCGTCCACGCCGATAAGCCTGAAGCAGGACAAGGCGTACGCCCAATATTTGGCCGAGTTTTATGACGACGGTATATACAGCATCTACGTGCGCCTTGGTGTCCTGTTTTCGTGCGCCTTGACTGATCAATATCTTCTTCCTTTTTTGCAGGCACTGTCTACACCAACATATCGGACCTCATCCGGTCGAAGCTCCATCTCATCCCTCCGAAGGCGCCTCGGAAACGCGGCCGGGCAGGGAAAACCATCAAAATGCCCGCTGGGGCGCCCCCATCCGCGCCGAAAAAGCCAGTGCGGGTGAGGATCATCAACAACAACCGGCCTGCGCCTTCTGAGGGCGCAGGTATCCCCACCACGGAAGAAGCGCCTCAACCATCGTACAACTCTCCTCTCCTTGTGGATGAGGAGACGGGCGCCTCCCCTGGCAATCACAGCCGAAGCGCCTCCCGTTCACACCACAGCCAGGGCGGCTCGCCCCGCAGCCAAGGCGCCACCTCGCAGACACCCACGCACGCCTCACACTCCCAGGCGCCCGAGAAGAGACCCGCCGAGCCCTTGCTCTCCGCGGCGAAGAAGGCCAAGCTGGACCGTGTGATTGCCTCGGGCGTGCCAGCAAGCCTGGTCATGCCCACTGTTGGGGAGCACACGGGAAAGGTCCTGCCCCCTTACTTGCGACCCCCATCCCGTCCCTTGGAGAAGGTTGCGGTGGGCGTCCCCGTTAGGGCGGCCAAGGACCCGGGCGCCTCAATGCAGATGATGCTGTCCCACGCGGCGGTGATTGAGCGTCCCGATCACCTCAACTCCAACCGCCCCCTCCGTACTATGGCCAATCTCAACGTTCAGGTAAGGCGCTCGCTTCCCTTGTCTTCCCCACTGCTTGTTTCGATATTTCGTGTCGTTCTAACCTTAGTGTGTCATGTATGTGTTAGATGATGATGCTGATCGAATCCACCGCCCGTGAGTTCGATCGCTTGGCCAAGGAGGGATCAGCCTCCGAAAACGCCGCGGAGCGCCTTCAGAACGAGCTTCAGCGTGCCCGGGAGGCGCAAGAATCCCTGAGCAAGGAGCGGGACGAGGCGCAGAAGGAGGCCCAGGCTTGGGCTGCCAAGCTATCCACCG